AGTTCTCCTACCCAAGAACTCTAAAGGCTCGTAGTTTTCATGCTGGGGACCCGCAGACCACCATTTCGAGGAGGGTTTCGGCAATTTTCAGCTTCAGCCAAAGGCCTCGAGAGCTTGAAGCCAAGACAGCCAGCACCCCTGCATGCTCTGTCGGCGAAACCCCTTTTCTTTTGCATCTGAAGGCTCCAAACGCCCTAAACCCTAAGCCTTGGGATGTTCCCCCCTTTTTTCTAACAGTCCCTAATAAGGTTCGTAGTGCCCCCAATGCCCCCAACTATAATCTTTATTGAGGACTGTTAGTATAAGGGGAACATCCCAAACCCTAAGCCCTAACCCCCTAGAAACAACCTTGGAGGAGCTGAGCGCTTGCGTAAGAAATCCTCATGGCCTGGCTGTTCTCGGAACCCCTGATACCTGGAGGTTCATGGATTCCCAACTATAAAGTCTTCTTCTAAACTACACAAAGGACTTAGGGGGCTTGAACATTCCAGTCACAATGGCGTTCCAAAGTGCCCGCGAACCTCCAAGTGGACAGAAGCAAAATGCAGTCAGGAACCCCATCAGACCCCCCAAGACCTGCGCACCAAAGACCAACTGCTTCTGAGCGAGTGCGGGCAGTAGGTGCCCCATATCCCCCCTACATAGATCTACCCTTCAGGGGAATTCTGTAGAAGCTCTCCTGAATTCCCCCCAATTTCCGTACACTATGAAGCCAGTGAGGGAAAGGCTCAGGCTGATGCGCCGAAACTCCTTGAGCCCAAGGCCCGGTGGCAAATGTAGCTCGCGTGCAAGTAGTGGACGGCACTGAGGACCTGTTGCATGACCTCTGAGACGGGGTTTAGGGTTTAGGGTTTTTTCTTCCCACCCGTGTCGCAAGCGTTTACGGGGTTTAGGGTTTAGGGTTTGGGCTTTTTCTTCGATGCTCACGTTAGCAAAGGACCTGTTTCATGACCTCTGAGACGGGGTTGATATGGGGGTTTACGAAAATAAGGGACCCCCAAACATAGACCCCAAAGAGTAGGATTCCCTCAGAATACATTTTTAATGTGGACTCGAATGGGGTACCCCTAATTCGGAAGCCCCCATAAGGGCTTTCTATAGGGTTCAGCAACTTCGGAGAGGGTAGGCGCTCTTGTACGGGCTCAGTTTGCTGTCTACAACTCCCACGAACGCATGAACCACCCTTCTCCTGATGCCCGAAACCCGCAACCCTGCACCTTAAACCCCCTGTGGAGGCTGAGTTCACGGCCCTTGCTGCCTGAAGCTCGGTGAGGGCGCGCGCCTTTGCAAAAACTTAGCGGTTCTGAGTGTCGGGAACTCGGCCATTGGGGTGCCTCTTTTCACATAGGGGGATATCAGGTACTGCATCCCCAAATTACCTACCATGCCATATGGACTAGTAAGCAGAAGCGCCTACTTTGTCTAAGGGCTTAACGTCTGGTTGCTACACTTTCTCGACGACTAAGGCGGCTTTTGTGAAGACGTTTGGTGCCATCCCACTTCACTTGCCCCAAAAACAGAGTGCTCATAGAACTCATGACGTAGGGGGACTTGTAATTTAGAATGGGGCTATCTTGGGAGAACAAAGGGTCATAGTAGGGTTTAGCCTCATAGGGCCCGCGGCTGAGACATGTGGGGGTGGGGGGGGTGGTGGATGTGGGAGTTCTGACCGTAACTTTGGTTTCTGTCAGCAGGCGGCTCCATGTCCATGTTCGTTTAGGGTTTGGGGTTTAGGGTTCAGGGGCCGGGGGTTTCTGTGGACGACGTTGCATGATCAGGCCCGTCCAAGTGAATAGTGCGGGTCGGCCTTGCTAAACATGCCCTCCAACAAGTTGCTCGGGAACTGTTCAAAACAAGGAAAAAGTCTGTGGAGGTCATGCTGGTGCAAATCTCCCCTACGCCAACCCCCACACCCCAAACCCTCAATCTTTGCATCCAAAACCCTAAACCCTAAACCCTAAACCCTAAACCTATAAAACCCTAAAGACTACAATTCCCTGGAGACCTCCGGAGCCCTAGCCACCTCGGCGACTCGGCTGAAGAGGTCCCCACCTTAGGACGCAGCACCAATTCTGAGGGCATCAGTGGTTCTAGGGTTGAGGGCGTAGGGTTGAGGGTTTAGGGTTTAGGGTTTAGGGTTTAAGGGTTTAGGGTTTAGGGTTTAGGGTTTAGGGTTTAGGGTTTAGGGTTTAGGGGCATTCAGGCCTGTAGAGCGTTAGGGGCACCAGGGTTTACGAAAATAGGGGACCCCCCCCCCCCCCCCGCGTGAGGACCGCAATAAGGTACCCCGCATTTCGGGAACCCCATTCTGGGTCTAGAGACCCTTTCAGGCTCCTCTCAAGTTCCTACTCTGCTTTCTATGGCTCAGTTGTCCAAAAACCTGGGGGAATTAAAGGTTAACCTTTGGGATGAAAAGGGGTTTATATTACCCCAAGAAGGTTAAAGGTTACCTACTCTACTACTAGGATGGGCTTCGTGTCGCACACCGAGATCTCTCGTCTTGGAGGGCACCTAAACAGCTTTCGAAGCCTGCCCGGCGCCACCCCAACGTCCCTTAACCCGGGGCCCTCCGTACCTACAGTTCTACGGGGGTTATACCCAGTAATTCAGGGTAGCTACTAGTAACTACTACTACAGTTCTATGGGTTATACCTATAGTAGATTACAAGGGGTAGATACTACTAAACGGTAGGCAAATAGAGTCCCAGGTATGGCTTAGGTCTCAGCCGCTGCAGAGCTCCAGGACGAGCTGGAAGCCGCCGCGCTCCTGGAGCCGAAAAGCCGGCAGCTGCGAAAAGCAAAGGAGGGAGGCTGAGAGACCCAGAGACGCCAATATCCCTTAATTAAGGAAGATACCTTAAATTAGAGTAGGATCCCTAATATGATTTTAAGGTATATTCCTTAATTAAGGGATATTGGAGACTTTGGGGACCCAGAGGCAGACTTTGGGGGGTTTTACGAAAACTTCTTGGGGTCCCTTTATATAAGGGGATCTTACTATTTGGGGTCCATATTAGGGGTCCCTTGCTTTCGTCAAACTCCCACTTAGCTACTTCTCAAAAGCGCGAGCAAAGGAGAGCCAGGACAGCGAGAAGGAGAGAGAGAGAGGTTGGAGTGTATGGGAGACATGCACCAAACCCCGGGCATCAGGACGTAAACCGAACGCACTGCGCGTCCTCGAACACTTCGTAAAGCCTGACAATGCCTGTGCACAGCATGCGGCAGAGATTTTGCAAGACTTCAACCTTACCTAAACCCTAAACTCGGCTCTCCAGTAGCGGTGGAATGAAAAGGGCAAAACCATTGCTCAGTGGCAACGTCTGAAGGTGTTGGGTCAAGCTGATGAGGTGGGCTGCCGCTGCCTATAAGCTTTCGGCTTGCGGGTTTTTTGGGTTGTTTGAGGTTTTGACATTTTTCGCGCAAAACATTGTAAGAAGAAGAAGAAGAAGAAGGTCAGAGGGGTTTCAGGGGTTGCTGTTTCTTCAAATTGTCCGCGGAAACCGGAAGTCTAGGCCCACTGAGGCCCTACGGAAAGGGCCTGCGAGAGACGAGGCACCCAGGAAAGGATCCAACTGAAGGGGAACCTACATGCTCCTCGCTCCTGTGCTCCTGGGCCCTAGTGGAGAATGCGCAGTAGTAGCCCGGAACTCACCATAAGAATACCATAACAAGCAAGATTAAGGATGATATGAATAATATGATATTCGCGTTACTACCAGCACGAATGCTATTCACTTTTTGGCCGATTGAAAAAAGTAACCTTTCCCGAACGCGTTACCGAGGGTTCCAAGCGTTCGGAGGCGCCCCAAAGCGTTGGCCTCAAAGGGTTTTGGGAGGTGCGACATGCTTGTGCCTGTCGCTCCCTTTTGACCATGGTCAGATCTTCCCAAACCCCTTAAATAAGGAATTTGCCGTAATTATACTAAGTTATGAACTAGGGCACATTCCTTAATTTAGGGGTTGGGAAGAACTGGGTGGTCTCGCGTTTGAGAATCGAAGTCACGCGGATGGCGCCACCCAGTTGCCTCATCCCCGGGACGTTTGTGCCGTGAACAAGAAACCAATTTAACAGTGACGACAGTCACGAGGATGCGCACCCCACATGTCTCATCCTCGTAACTGTCTGCGCTTGTGAGACGCTAACAACAAATGACGCCTTAGGGCCTCAGTATATACCTATAAGTACACAGACCCTTTGGGCTCTGATTCTTCCTCATGGTCTATCGGGTCGAGGTTGCAGCTACGAGAAGTGTGCCAAAGGCGTGTGTGTAAGGACCCAGCTGGGGTGATCCATCGATGCCAGGAGATGTATCTCCTCATAGGCCTGCTCCTTCGGGCAGAAGGGTAGGTCTATGGGCCCTTAACAGGGTGGCCTTACCTCCTTTACAGGGTTCTGAAATATGGGCCCTTGGGTCGGAAGGCCCAGACCCCATGCACAGTTTAGGCCTAAGCTATCCCGGAAGCTGCTTCATGCTAGACGCCGAACCACCATCGATACACCAAGCTCCACTACACCTTGCTGTGAAAGGAAGGGCACAGTTCTTCTTCTAAAATCTGCGCGCATCCTCCAGTAGAGTGGCAGCGCGCGGGAGTGTATATATATATATACACACACATACACACATGTATATATGTATATAGATAAATTAAAAATGAATGTAGGTATACTCTTTTAGCCGTCGGTTCTCCTTCCTCTCCCAGGGCACAGTCTTCAACGCACCTGTGTTTCGGGTCAAGGGTTTTAGGGCTCAGGACTTCGGAGGGTTTATAGAGTTCATGGGTTTAGGTCCTTCTTGGGTTTCAGGGTGCGGGAGGGTTGATAGAGGGTTTGAGGCTTCCAGGATCCAGGGTTGTTGTCACGTGGGTTCTGAGGTTGACTATGTGCCCCCCCCCTTCCCCCCTCCGCCGAAAGAGGTGGGGGGGCTTGATTCCTTAGAGTTCGGGCGCTCTTGTGCGTCTGTCCTCGCCTGGTTTGACCCTGACTGACTGGTGCTGCCGTGTTAGTCCTTCCAGTCGACGATTCCACTCCTGACTAACTTCACTGAAGCAGCCCTGGCTCGTCAGAATGCTTTCAATCAGGCCTCATAATCCCCATAATCAACCCTATGCTTAGGGTTGAGGGTTCAGGGTTTTGGGGCCTTGTTAAGGGATTCTAAGCCTCAAATCCTACGTCAAACCTCGTGATTACACGCCTCGTATAGTGCTAGAGACATCCCGAAGATTCTCAGACTACCACAGGTTTAGGGTTTAGGGTTTAGGGTTTAGTGTCCAGGGTTTAGGGTCTAGGGTTTAGGGGACGCCGGGATGTGCGATCGAGGTGCAGACAGCATTCGTCCTCCTGAGGTGCACGTAGGGTATGCGCTAGGCCTACGAAACCTTCACACGATGCGTCGCTTACCTCTTCTTCGGAGCCCTCGTGGCTTCCTCCACCCTGTTAAAAACGCAAAACCTACAAATCCTGAAACGCACGGAAGCCTGATTCTGGGCACATTTCAAGTTTCAAAAGGTTGGCGATGTTCGAGAAAAAGCCCCTCAGTAAGGAGGCCTAGGCAACGAGGACGACGGACAAGTTTGAAGCTGGCTATAGTAGCATAGCGCTATGACCCGAAAAGGGTTTCTGGCTCATAGACCCGACAAAGGATTATAGTAGCATAGGCATAGGGGTCATGGCCCCAATTTTTGGGGATACATTTGGTCCCCAATGCCAAAGCAGGGGGTCGCCCTACCTGTCAGGAGGTCCACCTCGTCCCGCCCCCTCGGAAACTAGACCCAAGAGTAACCTTGGAATAAAAAGGGCAACCCTAACCACTAAACAAAGGGGGAATATGGGCCTAGTCTGGGTGGTCTGAAGCCTCTACAGTATATGAGTTCAGCGTCCGGAGTCTGACTCTGGGAGCTTCAGTTTAGGTATATATGAAGGTTCTCCCTTTTGAATCCAGGCTCTGAGCATCAGCTGGGACCACCAAGCTTCTCCCTAAACCCTAAACCCTAAACCGTAAGCCCTAAACCCCAAACCCTAAACCCATTGGCACTCCAAGTATCCTGTTGCTGACCTTCCAAACTGTTCCAGACGTGCCAGTGCCAAGCCTCAGCAGACATGGAAGAACACTTGAAGCCGGGGGGGGGGGGGTGCGTTAGGTTTTAGGGTTTAGGGTTTACGTTTTGGGGTTTAGGGTTTAGGGTTTCGGTTCCGGACATGCCAGGAGAGGAGAAAACATCAAGACATCAATGCTTCCAGATGCTTCAACTGATCTGCAGGTTGGGTCCTTACTATAGGAGCCTGAATAATTAGAATCGGGTTATGGGGGTTGCTACGTATAATTGCAAAAGGACCCTAAGAGAATATTGTGAGAAATTATTCCGACCCCTAGATTACAAAGGCTTGTCTGCTGTTGTGTGCCCAAAGAGCCCAATATCCCTTAATGAAGGAATATTCCTTAAATCATATTAAAGATCCCTATATAAATTAAGAAAAATATTCCTAACTAAGGAATATTCCTTAAACCATATTATAAGGATCCCTATATAAACTAAGCAAAATATCCCCTAACTAAGGGATCTTGGGCTCTTTGTGCTGCTTGTGGCCGCTGAGTCGCTTGACGGGGCGTTCGACTGCCATGGCAGCGCCGGGGTCGATCTCATTCCTGGGCACGTCGGGCTAGAGGGGTTTAGGGTTTGGGGTTTGGGGTTTAGGGTTCAGGGTTCAGGGTTTAGGGTTTAGGGTTTATTGCACAGGGGCCACATTGGTAGCCCTGAAGGAATGGTGGAGTCTAGAGCTAAACCCGAAACCCTAAACCCTAAACCCACTTGAGAGGCCAGCGCGTGGAGAACAGGAACTGTGCAGTCATGCCGAGCTGCTACCATGAACGCTAAGCTCGTCGAGCAGCCATTCCTAACCTAAGCCCCTGTGACTCTCTGTCGTGTTTAGGGTTTAGGGTTTAGGGTTTATAGGGTATAGGGTATAGGGTTTAGGGTTTAGGGTTTAGGGTTTAGGGTTTAGGGTTTCCTCAGCTCAGTCGGAATATTCCAGGTATAACGGTATAACCCTTGAAGCTGCAGGTACATGTGAAGTACCAGGCCATCAGCGTTTTCTCAATCCCTTGTGCGGCCACCGGGCTCGTAGTGGTCGTAGTGGTCCATGACGTTTGCCTTCTTGACACGCAGCGAGCGGGCCTCGGGCAGCGTCAGGTCTCGGAATCCAATACAAAGAGAGCGCTACAGACTGCTCTTGAATAAAAACCAAAAGAAGACAACAACAGACCTGTTTTGTGTCGGGTGCGCAGTTTTTGCCGTTGAGTAGGGGGGGGCGGGGGCAGAGTGGCTCGGCTTGAGGGTTCAGGGTTTTGGGGGCATGTTGGGTTTTGGGGTCTCAACAAAGGGATTGCTCAGGGGGGGTAGCAGCTGCGCTGCTCAAGAAGAGGGCGTATGGAGGGTTGACAAGGGGCTTTCTTGGAGTGACCCAGATGTGCTCTCAAATAAACCTCCAAGCCCAAGCGTTTTTGTATCCAGGGGCCTACACAAGATGCACGTGGCACCTCTTCACTCCGCGAAACTCCTGGCTACTATTTGCTTAAGCTCCCCCACAAAATAAAAATAATAATCCCCATGTTGCCCTTATAGGAAGAAGGAAGAATATGTCTTTTCTTTTGGGGGGGGGGGGGGGGGGCGCGTTCTTAAGCAATTAGTAGGTTACCCATATGGATCTCGCCTTCGGATCCCAAGGCTGCCAGGCATCATGTCAAATGGAGCTCCATCCCCCAAGAAGTCAAGAGCTTGCTATGGGGGGCTTTCCGAAAATAGGGGGGGTGCCCTTTTGCAGGTGCCTAGAAGGAGGATTGTACTACTTTGGGGTATTCTATGAAGGGTATCCACTATTTTGGGGTATACTAAGGGTATCCCCCCTATGTTTGGGAATAACCATATCCCCCCCCCCCCCCCCCTCAAAGAAGCCAACAACTTGATGAGCGCCACGGGTTTCGGGAACCCTTTTTGCGACGAGCAAGCCCTAAACCCTATACCCCTGAAACCCTTAAAGCCCCTGAAACCCCTAAACACCCCTCCTAAAACCCCTGAACCCTAAACCCCGCCTGCTTTCCCAAAGGGTTGAACTGAAGCTTGGTCGGTCGAAGGAGGGTGTTTCCAGTTGTGTCCCAGACCTTGCAGTCACCCGGGCTCCAGATCACATGAGCTCCCGAACCCCCTCTGGGAGACGAAATGAACCTGAAAATTGGGGCCATATACCCCATATAATATACCCTAAGGGTTTAGGGTTCCTACCCTAAGAATTTAGGGTTTTGGGGTTCCTGCGCCACTATAAATCCTATCAAGGTACATGACTCTGAGAACCACAAACCCTTTTAGGCATGTCGTCCCGAAGGGAGTCTTGCCCCGGATCCTGGAGGAACCTCCCCTCGGAGTCCCTTCTTTTCTATTTCAAGGGCCCTGCAACCCGTACGAAGCGATGGGGCTTGTACCCTAAACCCTATAAACCCTATAAACCCTATAAACCCTGTAAACCCTGTAAACCCTATAAACCCTACAAACCCTACAAACCCTACAAACCCTAAACTGCATCCCATGGTACCGGGGACAACTCTCAGCTGCCAAGAGGCCGCGGATCTGTGCAGAACCGCCTTGACCTTCTGGGGCGAAGCCTTCTGAGGCAGCGAGTCCTGCGGGGATGGCGCCACTTTGCCTCGGCAGCCCAGCAACCCTATTGTAAATAAGGGCACCTCTTTTTTTGGTTGGCAAATTTACAAGGGAACCCAGAGCAAAAAACAAAAAGAAGAAGGGTAAAGGGTACCACTGGGCGACTAAGTTGCGTCTTGCCCGGCTCTTGTGGCCTTTGCAACACTTTCCAATGGAAGCCAGAGAGGCCATGAGGCCTTGGCCAGGCTTGGAGGGGGGGCCTATAAATTGATTTTGTTCTGGGCTTTATAAGGATTATGTAGGGGAATTCAGGGTGGTAAGAAGTATAAAAAATATGTTCAAAATCTATCCCTGATGCGCTGAAGGTGTGAGCACACGCGCAGAGGCCAAAACCCCTTCAGGCTCTTGACGGCGACGCCGGCGCTGTTGTGCACTGCCCGTTCCTGGATCTGAGCCGCAGCTTTACCGGCTGCCGGCCGCTGCACCGGCAAGTCCTTCGAGAACTTCACTGCTCCAAGGAACTCTAGCCAGCCACCCTCCACGTGCTCGTTTACGACCATTGCCAGCAACTGGGCCCGAGTGATGCCACGGTACACTTGGGAACGTGTCTGCACATCGGCGGCGTCGAACTTGATCGCTGCATCCAAGCCGATGCAAAGGACCACAAGCCCTTCCAAGCCATCTGCGTTGTCAATGCAGTCCAAGATCAGGTTCTCCTGCCTGAGTTGCTGAGTGCATAAACCCCCCCAAAAAAAGTGTGCACTTTCAGTTCTGCAGAGGAGTCTAGTATCCCAAAAAGTGTAGACCCTAAACCCTAAACCCTAGACACCCTAAACCCGAAACCCCAGAAAGTGTACTCAGCTGAGAGGTTGCTGGTGCTTCTCGGGAACCCTTCGGCCGCGCAGGCGCTCGTGAAGGGAGCTTAAGGAATCCTCACAGGAGACCTAACAACCCCTTAATTCAGGAATATACCCTAATTCACAATCATGATCCTTAGTATAAATGAGGGTATTGGAAGATCTGGGTAACTGCACTTATAGGGTTAGGGTTTATGGTTTCGGGTAACTGGGCTTATTAACCCAATAATAACCATACTCGGGCACTTAAGGGGCTCATACGTGGGTTGTAAGTACAGTTATAATTGGTCAATAGCCCTAAACCCTAAACCCTAAACCCTAAACCCTAAATCCTAAACCCTAAACCCCAAACCCTACTCGGTTAATAAGTACCAAATGAACCTCCAAGTGTAAGGAGTCCTCAAAGGAGACCAAACGCAAGCGCCGATGGGGGAGCTCCTTGCGCAGCCTCTCTTGCAGCTTGTTGGGTTTAATAAGGGGTTTATAGTTTTTTCAGGGGTTTAGGGTTTAGGGTTTTTAGGGCTTAGGGTTTAGGGGTTAGGGTGTAGGTTTAGGGCTTTTAGGGTTTTAGGGTTTTCGGGGTTTAGGGGTTTAGGGTTGTAGAGGTTTGAGGGGTTTAGGGGATTAGGGGTGTAGGGTTTGGGTTTAGGGCTTAGGGTTTAAAGGGGTTAGGGGTTTATAGGGCTGAGGGTTTAGGGTGGCCTTTCTTGCAGGATCGGCTTGAAGTGGCGGCAGAAGGCAGAATTTGGAACGAGCAAGACCACGCGGCGGTGCAGACTTGTGCCCGGAAAGGACTGCGCAACCTTGGGGGACCAAATGAGCCAGAAACATTGGGGTCATATACCCTGACTACTATAGTTCCTACTAAGGGAAATGGGCCATAGACCCTTTTAGGGATCATTTAGTCCCCAAGGTACTTGCCACAGAGCGGTGATCACATGCTTGGCATATTCGGCATACTTTTCACCGGGCCCCATGTCAGCACATTCGAAGAGAAATGTTTGCAAGGGCGGGCCATGTGTACCCAGGGAGGTCACGGGCGTTTTGTCCTCGGAGCTCAGGCGAAAGACCGCAGCCCCAGCGACGATGCACTGCGTGCTCCTTACAACCTCTGTAAGGTTCACTCTTGTCATGTTGGGATACCTTTGGCTCACTGCCGGTGCCTGGGACAAATCCGAGAGCAGCAGCTTGCTCTTTCCACCTGTCACTGATTCTCGTGAAAGAACTTGGCATCTCGTCACCGCATCTCCGCAGAAGATCTTATGAGCCTCGTCGAAGACGATCAGGTCAAAAGCTTCCACGTTGTCCGCAGCTTTCCGAAGGATCTGATCCCCGTTCAGCTCTGGCCGCAGAAGCGTCTCGTATGGGGCATGCCTAGTTCATGGTTGGGATAATATTAAAAACTCTAAATAGTGTTCCTTATTGGGCTTAAGCACCCTTAAAAATGATAAAACGTTGCCCAACTATGACCAAGATGCAGGAGCATGAGCCTCGAGAGCACGTCACGCAGCTTTGTCCTACAGAGCTCCAGCTCGTCGCGGCCCGTCTTGGCGGAAAGACGTGTTGAAAGCCACTGCACGAAGTGCAGACCCAGGGAATCACTGGGGGCTACATAGAGTACCCGGGCAGAGGGACTAGCCATCAATTGGTCAAGTACATACTGGACCGCGACGAAGGTCTTACCAGCTCCGGCGGGCGCAGACAGGTGAATCTGCGTTAAGCCCTTCATCTCCTGCAGCTTGGCTTGCTGGTGTGTGGTCAGGCCCTCGAAGCTGAACAGGCTGTCTTCGTAGAGCTCCAGGAAGCGAGTCTTGTCGAAGTTCACTTGGTAGGTACCATTCGTCTCAGCTAGCCTTCTGTTGAAGCTTTCCTCAAGTTCCCCTGCCAGGATGCGGTCACGGAGATCCTGTAAAGCGCAGACGTCGGGAATCTGGATTCCCACTCTCAGTGCCGGTACTCCCGTGGGCAGCCTTGTAGGATCGCACCATTCCACAAGCACAGCGCCCAAGGACTGGCGCAGCAGGGCATGAATGTGCTCCTGACCTTGGCCAGATATCAACAACCGTTCTTCTCAAAAGAGCTGGCGCTCATTCATCCACTACCTGACTTGCTACTATTTTCACAGTCCAAGAACACCGCAAAGAAAATGAAAAAGCATTCCTTATAGGGGCACTATAGGGATTCTTTTTGTTAGTGTGCTGGATGGAACTGGAGCGAGATCTCGGTGCACCCCTCCCGCCCCCACCCCATGCGTCTATACTGACAGGCAGGGTCGATTGGCAAGTGCGGCTTTCTTCACCATGACAACGTCTCGGCACTTGTTCAGAGATTTCTTCCTCTTAACCCCGGGAACTGGCCATGCTGAATCTCGAGAGATCCGACACGACGTCGTGCTTGCCCACCCCACCTTTAGGGGTGTCTTTGACACGAGTGTGTGGGGCTCCCCTTAAAATTTTCTAACCCTAACCCTAAACCCTAACCCTAAACCCTAAACCCTAAACCCTAAACCCTAAACCCTAAACCCGAAACCCGAAACCCTTCGGATTAAGGGGGGAAGGGACCTTAAGCGCAGGCTCCTTTGGAGTGTAGTTTGTGGCACTCGCAACCCTGGGAAACCGGCCGTAGGTCTGCAAGAACTGCTCGATTCCCTGGCTCCTGCTCACGAAAGCTACTTGCTCCCTGAGAATGCTTAGGTTTAGGGTTTAGGGTTTAGGGTTTAGGGTTTAGGGTTTAGGGTTTGCGGTTTGGGGTTTGGGGTTTGGGGTTTAGGGTTTAGGGTTTAGGGTTTAGGGTTAGGGTTTGGGGTTTTGGGTTTAGGCTTTCGGGTTTAGGCTTTCGGGTTTAGGGTTTCGGGTTCCACTTGCTTCTGCCACCAGCAGCCACCCTGTTTCGACACCGAGATGGGACTATGGGCTAGGGGCTACGTGCAACCCGAAACCACGTGCAGATTCACGGGCGCGTTTACACACACTTATAGAGACACATTTATAACACATATACATATGTATATATATATATATATATATACAGATACATATATATATATATATATGTGTGTGTAGACATTATTGCACCACAAACTCACAGTCTTGGTCCTCAGTATGGGGGTTTAGGAGCCAGGGGCCTATCTGAAATTAGAATGGGTATTCGGGGGAATCTTACATTGAGCTCCTACAAGGACTCATAACGGGAGAAGCTTGGTAGCAAATCGTGTACACCCAAACGGTGCCTGTGCCGGATATGGGTGGTGTCAAAGAACTCGTGGGTCTTCTCGCATCTTACTGTCCAAGCGAGATCGCGACCATGACTCCGTCTTTTCGACTGGCTGCCGTGTGTGAAACACGCGGGCGAGGTTTAGGGCAACAAAGGCTGCTTAGGGGTTTGTGGGGCAGTTCGTGCTTGAGGAGAATTACTATGGTGCCTGATTTGGAGAGGTCCTTGTTGCAAGCAGCTTCATTCTTAAAATTACATCGGGCCTCACCACGAAACAATCTTGTAGAACGGCCTCCTCCCTCCCATGCCGCTCCCCGTCCCCTTTCCTGACATGTTCTAGGGTTCTGGAAGCCTGTAGGAGGTTCAATCCTCTCGGGCAGATAGGAAACAGGAAATCGCGAAACAAACAAACGATCACCACCATGAAGTGACCAAGTCTCTCATCCGCGCACACCTGCCTCACCAGTATCCCTGGACGCCATTCGTTCGCATGCAGCGCATCCACTTCGCAGCCTTCCGAGAACTCCTTCTTGAGGAAGTCCGAAACATCGACTTCCTCTACCATTTGCTCCCCCCCCAAAAAAAAACACACACACACACACACAAGAGAATGATCCCTATATTACCCTTATGAGGATATAATGTATCTTATCTTTTTGTTTTGTTTGGTGGGGCGGGGGGGGCTCTTAGACAAATCGAAGTCCTCGTAGTCCCAGGCCGGACCTTCTTTTCTCCGCATGAAGTCCAGGGTCGCGAGTTCGCATTTCTGAGACCCGCCACATCCCACACCATCCCAAAGGTTTGTCGTACTTTGGGAGAGTTGCTCCATGGAGACTTTACCTGGGTTTTAGGGTTTTAGGTTTTAGGGTTTAGGGTTTCGGGTTTCGGGACCAGAATTAGGGTGCCACTTAAGAACTCAAGAACCGAAGGACGTATTCAGGGCACGCCTCGGCCACCTTTTGCAACAAAATCAGGTGTCTGCATGTTTCCAAACCCTAAACCCTAAACCCTAAACCATGTTTCAATGCTTCAAGGTCCCAAGCTACCTTCGCCCACCTGCCCATGGAAGAAGACCACTTTCAGCTTCTGCCCCTTCAGGACAGCGGCGCGCACTTTCCTATACTCCCCTCAGAACCTTCATAAAACAAAACATTATGGTTCATATCCTCTTGGGCTCTATATGAACAAAAGGAAAAAAACAATTCCCAAGGGGGCTATAGTTTCTTGAGCCACTCGCGGTACCACGCGCAGCCCCACGCGGCCACTTTGCCCGAACTCCGCCAGCGCTCCTCGGCGTCCCTTTCGGCCTCCTCCCGCTCCTGCTGGCTCGCATCTTCACCTGGGTTGGCCTTTTTAAACCCTCTGAAAACACATAAACAAATATATATATATATATATATATATATATATATATTTTTTTTTTAAATCTATTTTTAATTTATTTATTTCTGTATCTATATTATGTATAAGGCCCCTCATAAACCCAAACAAGGTCAACAACAAATTATACCTTGGGTCTTCTTGGAAACCCAAATAAGGACAATCATAAAACATGTACCCAAAACCAGCGGAGTCTCGGAGGATCACCGCATTCATGGCAGCTGCTCGGCTTTCAAGCTCCTTCCTCCGCTTTTCCGAGAAGGGCCGCTTGAAGGCCACGAGGTAGCCGAAGGATCGGAAGTCCCTGGTGCCGTAAATCCTCTGGCAGTAGCCTGAGTAGCCCAGTCACCATATCATAATAAGGGCACCCCTTTTTTGGGTTGGTGACTTTATAAGGGAACCCAGAACCCCAAAACAAAAAGGGTAAAGGGTACCACTGGGCTCCCAAGTAGCACGTGCCCGGGTTTTCTGCGTCCTCCACGTGCTTCCCCAGGCCTCAGGAAGCTGCGCACCATCTTACAGTGCAATGGTACGCAATCCGTGGTCATCCCCTCCGGCGAGACACGCCAATTGCAGTGCCGGTTCTAACCACAACACATGCAAAAAACATGGGACACAAAGCTTTCGAGGCGCCCTTTTGACTAAACCCTAAACCCTAAACCCTTATAAACCCTAAACTGTGTAGACAAACGCCTTAAAGCCCCCCGCGCATCAACAAAATCCTCTGCAACTCCGAGATTATGGGTCCCATGTCCGGAAGCCTGCATCGCTGATCCTACCGCGCAGGCATCATCCACCGGAACGACTCAAGGGAAAGAGCTAGAAGTCGGGCGCGCCAAAAAGTTCGATGGCAGCAGGAAGTTGGGTGCAACCAGGCTAGGTTCGATGTTTGCATATCATATCAGCAGGAGACGGGAACACCCTCTACTTACCCGAAATCCGAAAAAACCTCAAGCCCTTAACTCTGAAGATCTCGGAACCCCCAAAAGCCCTCAGGGCCGGGCCATCCTCTGGTGCCGACAGGAAGACGCAAGCCACTGAGTCCATGTTAAACTCCTTGACCAGCGCTTCCCAGCCTGCACACTTAAAAAAGGAAATCTTACCCTCAGGCCCCGCCCGCCCCCCTGCCCCCCAAGCAGGGTTTAGGGTTTAGGGTTCAGGGTTTAGGCCTCCCCCTAGTTATCAGGCCAAGCAAACTCTATGCGCTAAGGGACTGATGTGATGTGAGTGGGTCAGCCACAAACCGCAAGCTCCTACAAAAACCCGTCCCCTCTTTCTTTTCTTGAGATTCAAGCTTTCTTTCTCTCTGCTTTTCTCTTTTTCTATCTATCTCTTTGTTTGCCTCTTTATCTCTTTCTCTGTCTCCTAAAAAACTCCACACTTGCACGCTGTTGGCCCACCGAACTTTAAGAACAGACAAACTATCCCCTGAAAGTGCTTTGAAAGCACACAAGATTTCTGTTTGTGTTAACGTTGTATTTATAACCCCCCCCCCCCCCCCCCCCCCCCACCTCAGCTCAGAAACCCGAGACCCGGAACTCAATAGTTTAATCTCCTGAATTCAGAAACCTATCACTGCGCCTGGGGCCCTGGATTCTGGATTTTAAAGGAGAGCCCGACCCCCCCTCAATGGAGTGCCCAGGGTGGTGAGTGTCAATGGGATGGGGGTGGGGGGGGGGGGGGGGGGGGGGGTTATCATTATGAAGTTAACATTATGCAACATGTACAGGATGCTTTCCTTCTCATTCAATCGACCCCATAAGCGTGCCAGGACAACAGCACAATCTCAGCCTAATGAACCTGCATCCCAGCCCACATAATGTTGGAAAGGTCGGCAACCGTGAACAAGAATCAAAGGCGTGCCCATATTAGCAAACAACTGTCTGTTTCAATCCACGGCCAAATTCGACTCAAACCCACACAATTTTTCATTCAGCGTACGTGAACTGTATCGTGATGTTTGCCGGTCCTTGATACGACTTAGGGTGCAGTAGGCGTTTTTCCTTTTACCCTCAACCGTAAAAACCCTAAACCCTAAACCCTAAACCCCTAAACCTGAAACCCTATAGGCCCGAAACCCCATTGGCATTGCCTGCGGTGTACTTTCCTGGGAAGGAGGCCCAGCAAGCGTTCGCGTCATCCCGGATGTGGCCATGATAGCTGATCCTTAAGCTTGGCTGCACTTAGGAGGGTCGCAAAAAACAAACTCTTAGCTGCCCTCTTAAGAAACCCAATAAACCCAAAAAAGCTAAAGATCTAAAGTTACAGTAAAGCACCGCTCATCCTGAAGACTCTGGATTGTGAACCTTGTGACACCCTTGTCCGAGACTCTCCTGCGAGGCCCTGCAACAGTGAAATTCGCCGTTCAAGCCCCCAGAAAGATGGAGACATGAAAAACTGCACAACACGTGGGGAGCTACAGCAGTTTCCTGTTGTGCGTCTGTTCGTGAAGACACCGTATTGCAACAGGCGCCAAGAATCTGAGGCGAGTCCACAACCGACGGTTCATCCTTGAGCGTCAAGAACAAAGTCTCCTTGAAAGAATCGGGGTTCATGACTCTGGCAGATGTGACTTAGCACATTCCCCCCCCCCCCCGGACCCCACTTCACCGCCCCCACCCCTCCCTAAACCAAACCCTAAAGCCTGTGAACCCTCTAAAGCCTAAATCCTAAACCCGCCCCCCAAACCTGTCCTGCATAAACCCTAAACATCCCAACCCTAAACCAACTCCTAAGCCTTCGACGTGTCTTTTTCTGAAAGCTTTCGGTGCCCAGGTTTTCCAGTAAACCAAAGTCCTGCAATGGAGACAGAATGGTACCCTTCCTGTGGGGAATTCGCTTCCTGGGGGGTGCCACTGTTTAGGGTTCAAGTAGGTGTATTTTTGACTAGGGTTTAGGGTTTAGGGCTTCGGTTTATGGGCCGATCCTAACACCAAGAAGTGCACTACTAAGACTACTGCACATTCAAGAGACATCGCATAACCCCCCGCTACTGGAAGCTGGGCCCTGGAATCAAATCCTAGCATTGGCGCCAAAAGTTTTAAAGCTCGCACATTGGGACCCAACCGTTTCCGAGCTTATTGTAAGCGATGATGCATAATGAGGCCCGGGAAATGCATACGTTTCGCTTCGTCCATTGAGCAAATTCATGTGGGGGAGATACTCCTTGGTGACCCCCAAACCCCCAACATCTCCGCAGCTTTTGCCGTACTTTTAACACCCTGAGCACACCTGCGATCTTAAGTGTTTAAGGCTTTCTAGTTTCCGGTGGAAACATGTTTCGGGTAAGCTGCTGAAGGAAGAAGTTGCCCCAGCCGCCAAGGCAAAAGCAAAACCACACCACCACAAAACTCACGAAATACTTCGTGGATTATGTCGCCGCAACAGTCAGGCCGATTGCAACAGAAAACTTGTTAAAGCCAGATTTCGTTTTGCCGGTTCAACCTCTTTGAAACAAGACTTGATGACTGCCAGCGCTACCTCCTCCGCCTTTTTTCAGCAAACCCTAAACCCTAAACCCTAAACCCTAAACCCTAAACCCTAAACCCTAAACCCTAAACCCTAAACCCTAAACCTATAAACCCTCCACCTTAACCTTAAGCCCTTTTTTGCCGAGACCCTGTTTCAATCCTGAACCCTCATCCCTGAACAATAATATTCGAACCCTACACCTTAAATAACCTTATAAACGTGGATCCAGGTCGCTCGCGAGGCAGTCGGTCCTGAGGGTCGGGTCGTGCCGCAGCAGTGGCTGTCGCGCACCACAGCGGCGCACGTCCGGGCCGACGACCGTCGCCGCCTCGACTTCGTTGTCTACGGGGCAACGACCAATGGCGAGGCCTTGTGCTGTGACGCAACGCTCGTCTCCCCACTCACTCGGACTGGTCGGCCCGTCCCCGGGGCCGACGCCCAGGTGGGGGTCGCGCTTGTTATGGCACGCACGCGCAAGGTCGCACGCTACCCGGAGCTGACGCGAGGGGGGCCTCAGCGGCTGGTTGTCCTCGCTGCTGAAGTAGGGGGCCGATGGAGCGACAGTTCCTCCGCACCGTGCTCCGGCTCCGCGTCCAGCGCGCCCCGCCACCCCTGCGCGCCTTTGCCGCCCAGTGCTGGGCGCGCCGCTGGTGGAGTGTGTTGTCGGTTGCCCTGCAGCGAGCAGTCGCCAGTTCCGCGCTTGGCGTGTGGACCATGCCGGCGCTGCCTGGAGCGCCAGACACGCTTCCGTTGAGCGACGTGCTCGACCTGGCGAGTGCGAGCGCCCCCAGTCGGCTGCCGCTTCGCTAGCGCTCCGTAGGAGTCTAGGTAGCTCACGTCGTAGGGACTCGGGATGCTTTCTGTGGACGCAAAAAGGCGCGGGGAAAAAAAAAAAAAAAACACGTTTTGGCCTTCCCTTTTTCAAGCCTGAACCTTGCACCCTATATCTCAAGCCGAAGCCCGAACCATGTCCTTGAG